AGTCGCGAAGACCCACGATCTTCGAATCCATGTATTCTCCGGGCTTCATCTTCGCATACACCAGGTGTATACATCGAGCACACGAAGTCCTCACTCCGTCTCGCCCTCGACACGGAGGAGGCGAGTAGAGACTGGCTCGCTCAACGCAACTGGCCGCTCTTCAATCGCGCATGGACATTCCAGGAGTATCTACTTGCGCCTCGAACGCTGCTGCTTGGACACAAAACTCTCATGTGGCAGTGCTCGGAGGGGTTTTGGGATGAGCTGCTTGGTCCGATTGCAGAACCACCGGTGAAAGATCCCACAACGACGACGGTGCAAGTATCTTTGCACGGCAAAGACAGAGGAAAATCTCGGTACTTCCCCAACACCATCAAAGAGATCAACACACTCGCAAAGACAAACAGCCTCTCCTCTCCGGCTATCCTCTCCTTTACACTAAACTACCAAAACCTGGTCAACGAGTATCGCAGCCGCAGACTCTCTTTCTCCAAAGACCGCATCGTAGCATTCGCAGGCGTAGCGCGTGCATTCTCCAACCTAGGCCAACTCACCTACCTAGCCGGCCTGTGGAAAGAAATACTACCAATAACCATGCTATGGTACGTCGACAAGAAAGCGAAATGGCTTATCCGCCTCGAGAATGGGATACCGAATGGCGCGGAAATGAAACCATCGATGTGGACCACGGAGATTGAGGAAGGAGTCGTGCAAACCACATCTCCACTCCCAAGTTGGTCGTGGTTCTCCGTGCCAATATGGAAGTTTTACCAACTCCACCATCTATTCGCCGAAGACGAACTAGTCGTCCGCTGTAAAAGCGATTCCGAACCTCATCTCGTCCGCTGGACCGACATGTTCTTCGCCGAAACCAAGGGCTTCAAGTTCGCTGGACACGCACAAGATCGCATATCCGAATCTAGCCCCTTTGACTTCTCCGGCTTGCAAGTCACGCTCGCTACACTGGTTCTACCTATCAAAGCGGATTGGCCGGCTGATCTAGCGAACCAGATGAAGCGGTTGCAAGAGCATTCGCCGCTTTCTTCTCACCGCGGGTTTAGTTGGGACCCGGTTCTGGAGTATTACCCTGATGACCCAGCCGGGCGGGCGTCGCCGCCTCGCAACGCGGTGTATGCGTTGATGGCGGAGTGTCAGGTTGTTAGGACTGCGGGAAAGAATACGGTGCAGCGGCGGTTGGCGGGGCTGATGTTAGTCCCAGGAAGTAAAGAGGGGACGTGGAAGAGAGTGGGTGTGTGGAAGTTGAGGATTAATATTGTGGGTGTGGGTGTTGATGGCGGTAATATTGGGGAGGTGGCGAGGAGGTGGGGCAAGGTTAGTGTGCTATCGGGGAAGTGGAAGAGTGTGTTGGTTACTTTGGTGTAGTGTTATGACAGGTAGATAGAAAATGTGGTTGGGAGGACTGTACACCGGAGGAGACAGTGCCCTAGTGAGCAAAGTTACCTTGGTTGGTGGTCGTGTCTGTTAGTGGTTCGCTGCCCGCTACCAGTACGGGCAACCGCGCACTCATAAATATCATTCTTTCTGCACAAGCCCATACCACCATCTATCACAGATCCTCACTAACGTCTGCGAAACTCGACGAATACGATGCAGTCACACAAAAGTATCGCTTTAGAATCTGATGCCATGCCGCAACACGAAAATGCAGACGCGACTGCGCCGCCTGATTCTGCCGACCCGACCGACTACGGCTTGCAGCGGATGCTTGATTTGCCGACAGAGCTACGCTGCAGCATACTAGAGCTCCTCATCAAGGACGAGTACTTTGAAGCCTACTACACACTTCTCGAGCATCCGGAGATGGGCGATTTGGTCCGCTGCAACTTTGCTGCGCAGTTCAAAGCGATCAAACAGCACCGCCATCTCGCTAGCCAGCTTCAGCATATCCTAACAACTACGGCCTTACTTTCGACGCATACAAACCGCCCACGCTCAAGCGAGCAGCTAGCTGAGTTCTTGAACAGCAATCTACATGATGAAACCCTACGTATATCAGTGGACAGCCCCGGTCATGCTGTCGGCATGCTCGCCGAGTACCAAGCACTCTTAATCGACGCGGACAGCCTTACAGATCAGTTCGTTCACCTAGCACTAGGCAATGCAGTAGCTCGGTGGGCCTCATCCGATCAGTCTCGCTATGGTACCGATACCCTGTCTGATGTCGAGCATCATCGTGTACTTCGTGCATTTTTCCGGTTGCAACTCTACGCCGTAATCCGGAAACTCTACGGAAAAGGAAAAGGCTTCAAACGGAAGATCAGAAGCTTGTTCTCGATGTGGACGACGTGGGAGTTTGACGAGGTGAGAAGCCTAGCCGAATGGATCAAAATCGAACGTCCATTCCTACCGCGAGATTACGACGCCAGTATCCGCAAGTTGTTTGCCTGTGTGGACAGACATTTCTACAACGACATGGTCCCGTATGTCCGAATCAGACCCGCTCCTTGTCGCGACCGGAACCGACGTTCTGCGTTCACGAAAAAGTCAAAGACTTGGCTCGACACGCCTGCGACAACTCGTGAAGGTCGAGCTGATGCCCGGAACAAGGACTGGAGACCGCTTGGTCACAGTTACGGATGTTACGTCGGTTATACACAACAGGTGTATCGAGAGCATTGTCTTGCTGAGGGGTTCCCGTTTTGGTGTCGATATACAAAGCCACATGGTGGATGGTGGCGTTTCCGCGATGCCGAGCTGTTCCAGAAATTCGGGCAGGCTGGGGTCTATGACACACAGGTAGGGCCGTGGAGGTAAAAGCTAAACATGCCCAACCTCTGGCTCTACGAGAGTGTGCGTCATCATGCGAGTGTCCGATCTTTCGTCGGGTAACAAATGATTGAAGATATTAGTGGATTCAGTGCGACTGAAAGGACATGTGTTGAGTTTTGAAGCAGAGGGGTGGGTTGGACGAGCCTTTTGATGGGGTGTGTGCAAGCAGAAAGACTCGCTCGGCAAGACAGGATAGTTTCTGGCGTGCGATGCCGTCTTATCCGTAAAGCAAAATCTGAAGCTCCAAAGCATTTGAAAACCATGCATAGCGCATCTCTCCTCCCAAGCGCACTTTCCATGGCGAAGCTTTAGTTTGTGGGGAAGCCCGCCGTAGATCGTTAGTTCACGCGTGCTGACGTCATCCGCTTGGCGTGTAGATCTCGACCAGAGCGGATGTGACGGAGGCTTCACCTCCATTAACCCTAGACCACAGCGCGAGAATCATTGGAAAGGGCCGTAATATACACGCGAATCCTACCATTCTGCGTGCATCTCGGCATCAAGCTTTACATCGCCTTCTTGATGTGCCGATTACCCGCAACTGCTCATATCGTTCCTGACGCGGCCTCAAGCCTGAATGTCATCGTGCATGCGGCGAACCAAGTTTTCAGCAAATGAGTATCCGTCTATGCGGTAGTCAGGGACTTTACACTGGCTCAGTAAGTGCTTTCGCGCCGTTTAAGGCCTAAGAATCCAAGCAAGCGCCTCCGAACCGGGACTTACCTGACGCTAAAAGCCCCAGACTCCGATGGCTGGGCATGTAGACCTTCTAGAAGGCTACTAAACTTACGAGGAGCTTATTTGCACGCCAGCACGCAGCCAGCCATAACCTCAGGAGCACTTCCGACGTGTCTTTGGTATTGACACGGCTGACCTTCCATGCTACTCACAGCTGTGCCGACATAGCCTTCTCGTCATCCACCGGCATCTATTGTTTCGTGGACGTTGATGGTGAAGATGCATCTCGCCACGAGATCTTGGTCCGATGAATATGCTAGCATATGACGACCGCAATCGAGGTTGGCATGTGCATGTTCGGTATACCAATGATGACGCTACTCTAGATGTACCTCTCGTAGTATATATATCGAGCTCCTCTTCTTGTATTAATACCGTCATCTCAAAGCTATTCAAGACATTAAATCTTCTACGATTGACTCGAAATAACACTTTCATCGCTTCCCGACACCCGTACTTCCTAATCCAAAATGGCTCCCCGTGCTGTGCACTTCATCCGCCATGCCGAAGGCTACCACAACGCAGAACACAACGAGAAGATCCCCGACCCCGACCTCACACCGAAAGGCAAACAACAATGCAAAAACCTTTCGGAAACGTTTCCGTTCTTTGACCGCATCGACCTAGTTTGCGCAAGCCCCATTCGCCGCACCATTCAAACGGCACTCATCAGCATGGAGCCGTGGCTGCAATCCGGAAAGCGCAACATCCTCGCTCTTCCCTTAGCCCAAGAAGCCACATCTGAGCCCGCCAACACACCAAGCGATGTAAAGCGGCTTCAAAAGGAATTTGGCGACGTCTGCGACTTCCACAGGTGCCTGGACACCTACACCGACTTCAACACCAAAGAGGGCAAATGGGCACCAGACGGTGGCTCACTAAAGGCGCGTGCCTTGGAGCTCCGCCGCTTCTTGCGAGACCGCGACGAGGAGGAGATCGTCGTGGTATCGCACGGCGACTTCCTGCACTACGTGTCTGGGGATCTAGATGAGAATGATTGTCAGGCGCATGGAGATTGGCAGAACACGGAAATGAGAAGCTATCGGTTTTTCCCGGTCGATCACGAGGATGCGCTGTTGCAAGAGACGGATGAGAGTGTGAAGTTGAGGAATGCGAGTGCGCCTGGGCAGGCGATGGGATCGGCTAAGGAGGGCACGCCGTGAGATGCGATTTGACGGAGCGACGATGAGATTGTGCAGTTTAGCGAGCTTTATCTGGAATGAAAATCATTTTGACAATATGCGCATCATTAACAGAATCACGTTGAGATGGCATGAGTGAAAGATGGATGTCGAAGCGCTGATGCTGAGAAAGACGGATGTTCGTTCCATGCGCAGCTGCCCCACAGCGCGGAGACGGCGAAACTTGCTACTTCCAGCGGCGCTAGCCCCGGGGGCGCCTTCCACGAACGCGTGCCATTGCGGTCTTGCAACATCACCTTTCTACTGCTCCTGACGGCCTGATAATATAAAATGGAGTCCCTCGCTATGGAGTCCGTATCGCATCTTCTACATGTTCCCCAACATAGCCGACATCCTCGATTCCGCACCCATTACGCTCCGCACCTCCGCACCAGGTACTCCTGCATTGGAGACAATGGCTAGCGACACGATCACACACATCGTGCTCTTCAAATACCGCCAGGATATATCATGGATGGACCTAGAAAGCCACTTTAAGTCGTTTATGGCCCTACAACACAAGTCGCTGAATCCTAACACCGGCAAGTCGCTCATACAGTCGCTAAAATCTGGCAAAAACAGATCGTGGGAACCTTTCTCCAAAGGCATGACGCATGGTTTCGTGCTAGAGTTTGCGAACCAGGAAGATTTGGACTATTATCTCACCACTGAGCCTGTTCACAAGGCCTTCTCTAAAGCCGCGAAGCCGCTGATCGAGGATAGCTTAGTCGTCGATATCAAAGACGGGGTGCTGTTCGGCTCTGCGGCTGAACATCCATCAGCGAAAGGAGATGGGGTCAGGAAGGGTACATGCCATTGCGAAAGTGTAAAATGGACCGCGAAGCTCGAAAATGCTGAGCACGTGCTTTGTCATTGCTCAACATGCCAGAAGCTTGGTGGTGGACCGTACTCGTGCAATCAGATCATACCGAAAGAGGAACTGCAGATCGTCTCCGGCGAGGAAAACATCAGGCAGTATCGGTACAAAGGTGCTAGTGGTATGTTCGCTTTGTGTCGGTGAAGGAGGAAAGACTGACTGGGTGCAGGCAAGTTCGTGCGATGCTACTTTTGCAAAGTTTGCACGAGCCATATTTATCATCATCAAGATGTTATGCCGGACAAGATCATCGTGCGCACTTTGTTACTGGAAGGCGGTGAGGACATGCCGGCCACAGCCGAGATCTTTGGCGAGGGAAGGCTGGCATGGGTACAAGAGCTCTCAAAACAAATTTAAGCGCGAGTTCTGGAGATGCAAGGAACGTGATGATTCAGAAAGGGATACAAGCGTGGTGGCCAAGGATGCTGCCTAATGTGCCACAGCTACTTCATCATTCAAAACGAACAACACCTCACTACTCGATATCTAATTGGAATCCCGAGTGCGAAACGCATCTTTGACGGTGAATCGTTGATCTCGCCACTGGATGGAGTCGCAGCGACATGTCTCATCTACTCGATCTTCCAACAGAGCTCCTCATTGAGATCCTGTCTTCTTGCTCTTGCGCCGACATAAAGAGACTATGCGAGACATGCCGCTCGCTATACGACGTCGGTGTATGTGAGCATCCCTCAACTTTCATATAGCGACTGACGACAAGTAGATGCCAGAATTGTACCGCAACATTGACTTGAGCTCACATAACGCTCCCATCGACTGTACGCCTGTTTTTTACGGGCCTCATCGGGTGCCACCCGACTTTACACACAGAAGGTGGGGACGCCTCGACTTGGACGTATTCGAGAAGCAGCTGCAGTTTACCCGAACTTTGCAGCACGATCCGGGGCTCGGTAAGCACGCGCATGTGCTATGCTGGACAGTCTTCAATTTATTTGAATGCGATGAGACGGCTTGGGAAGACGGAGAAGAAGAAAGTTTGGAGCACGAAATCAAGCGCTTGACGGATGAATACCCAGGGTCGGAAGATCTGCATATTGACGGACATGGAAGCTACGGTACGCAGACACGTTATTTGAGGTGTTGATGCTGACTATGTTAGGCTCTCTTTGGCGCACGTTCCGTAGCCTTGATAACGTCTCCGACATTGACCTTTGCTTCACGCAGTAAGTGTTTGGCTGTTTAGCGATGATTGTTTACTGACTTCTAAAGGTCATGCGATCCTCTACTACTGCCTTTGATATGCTTTCCTAAAGCTACTTCGGTGCGCTTGAGTGGCTGGGTGCGACGCGACGTTGTCAATTGCTTCTTCCAGGAGTATGCCCACCAACTCAAAGCACTTGAGTTACACAACCTGTTCCAGTCTGACGAGTTTGACCCGCCTTATCCAATGTTTATTGCCGTCCAAGACATGGTGGACTATTTGCAGGAACACGAGGAAGATGAACGCACCGCCCTAGACGACCAGTACATGATGGGATTGCTAGATTCTTACGTTGGGAATTTTACTGCTCTCACTTCTTTGTGTATTGCTACCATCGGCAATTCCTTTACGAATGTTTGGTACGATACAGAACTGGGCGATCGACAATACTCTGAATGGGCGCGTTTCATGCGATCCGTTCGGCACACCCTACACTCTCTTTCCTTCAAACAGGGCTACAATCGAAATGACTACGACACTCCAAGAGGCATTCGGCCACCGCTCCCTCATTATTCATATCGGCCAATGGATATCTTGTTCCGACAATGGATCTTGCCCGTATTGCTTGAAGCGCCATGGCCTCATGTGAAGCAGATGGAGATCAGAGGCGTTGGAAGGCATGTACAAAGTTGGCATTCGGATCATATGCCGACAGAGCAGGAGCTATCCGAACCAGGTCTTCAGCTTGAGTTGATATCGGAACAGTCACGAGACGGTCGTACGGAAATCAGGAAAGATCTCACACGTATAGCTTTTCCACATGACAAGAGAGAAGAGTTATTGAGGCTGCTGCCTGGAGGTGCCAAACTCATCGTCGAAGAAGATCAGGAGAGAGATTACGAAGAGCTGCACTGAACTGTTGAGAGCATCGAGTACATTGTTGCAGTGGGGTGGTCGGCCACAGTTTATAGAATATATGGGGCTTGCGAGTTAAGATGCAAAAAATGGTGAACAGCAAGTCAGACAATCATATCGCCAATGGTGTCACGAGATACCAGGTGCTCCACAATATCCTCACCTGCAGCGCGCGGCTAAACTCCCACATAATGTGGGGCCTCAACCCCATCAGCCATTCCGAACCAAATCCTTCCTCGGCCTTCTCGCCCAGAGACCGCCAGGATGCGTAAACATGTTGAGTACCCGCGACCTTGGAAATGCTGCTTGATGTTCCTCATTCGTGGAGTGAACAGCCACCGAAGGAGCGGGCCGTGGGTATTCGAGCCGCGGCTCCACTTCATATGTAGGTACGAGTAATGTGAATACAGCGAGCAGCATGCATGTTGTATAGAGCATGCCGCATCCCAACATTTGCCTCTTAGATACTATCTGGGGTGTGGATCTAGAATGAATCCTTCGGTTCGGTGTGGCGTGAGCTTTTGTTCATTTATCAAGATGGTCGACAAGGCTTGGTCGTGTAGCGCCAACACCTTCACTCTCTTTCACCAGCTCTCCTTTCGCTATGTCTGCACGCAGGTCTCTGTTGTTTCTAGCTGCAAACGCTATCGGCGCTCTTGGAAGTCCGGTTGCTTTCCGGGATGTCGCACCCGCCGCCGCCACAGTCTCCACGGACTCGCCTGCCGGAGCTGCGCTTTTCCCGAACGAGGCAGTCCAATTGACCAACAACGCCCTGAATGCGGCTGCTCGCCAGACGAGTGAGATTGATGTAGTTTCACTTTTTGGCTTCGACAATGAGGAGGAGACGACGCATGGAACCAGCAGCGGTCAATGCAAAGTCTTTCCAGGCGATTCCGACTATCCGGAAGAGAGCGTATGGTCAGTCTTCGACAGCCTACTCGGAGGAGCGCTCATCAAGACCACTCCCATCGCTGCGCCATGCTACAAGGACTCGGCCTGGAATGACTATGATGAGGCGAAATGCGCAGATATCTCTGCTAGATTCACGACATCCGATCTCCACACGAGTGACCCGACCTCGATGATGTGGCCGCTCTTCCAGGGCCGTACATGCATGCCTACCGACGACCCTAGTGGCACCTGTACGCTAGGTGGCTATGCATCTTACTCGATCGACGTCGAGAACGTCGCCCAGGTGCAGCTTGGCGTTAACTTTGCTCGCAATATGAACCTCAGATTGACTGTCAAGAACACTGGTCACGACTATATCGGGAAGTCGTCTGGCGCAGGTGCTCTCAGTCTTTGGACACACAATCTCAGAGATATTCAGTTCATTGAGCAGTACAATTCGACCGAGTACAGCGGCCCGGCGTTCAAGGCTGGTGCTGGTGTTCAAGGATTTGAGATTCTGGAAGCTGCTCGCGAACACGATGTGACCGTCATGACCGGGATCTGTGAAGTAAGTCGCCATGGTATGCAACGTTTTGCAGTCGCAGCCACTGACCTTGAACGTAGACTGTTGGATGGAGTGGTGGCTATATCACCGGAGGTGGCCACTCACCTCTCGCATCCATCTACGGCATGGCCGCTGACCAAGTTCTCGCCTTTGAGGTCGTCACCGCCGATGGGCGTTTCGTCACTGCCTCTGACTCGAAGAACTCCGATCTCTTCTGGGCCCTTCGCGGAGGAGGCGGTGGAACTTTCGGTGTTGTGACTTCAGTTATCGCCAAAGCCCATCCGAGAATATACGTTACCAAGTCTGTCTTCTCCTTCCAGGCCCCAGTCAACGACTCTGCCAACTTCTGGAAGGGCATCAACGCTTACATGAAGCGGTTCCCTGAGTTCACCAACGCTGGCACCTATTCGTACTTCTGGATCTGGAACTACGGTACGACGCTCGACTTCCAGATGACTCCCTTCTTTGCGCCGAACCACACCATTGCGTCCTTTAACGCGCTTACGAAGGACTTCTTCGCCGACCTCAAGTCTTTCAACATCTCAGTAACTCCCAACACGACCTACCACGACGACTTTTACTCTGCCAACAAAGGCTCATGGGGCGCGGATACGCTCGGTGTGACCACCATTCGTCAAGCTACCCGTCTCTTCCCCAAGAGCCTTTGGGCAACCGAAGAGAAGTTCAACTCTTTCTACACCACTATCAAGGACACGGTGATGAACGGCCACACGGTCGGTGGTTACCACATGGCTCCGGGTAATCCTTTCAAGGTTGATAATGCGGTCAATGAGGCATGGCGTAACACCCAGTCTTTCTTGATCACCGCGAATATGGTTCCAGAGAACGCGACGCCGGCTCAATTGAAGGAAGCATCCGACTACCTTACGTACGACATCATGGACTCGTGGCGTGCAGTCGCTCCGGCGTCTGAGGGTGGCGGTGTCTATCTCAACGAGGCTGATATCCAAGAGCCAAACTGGCAAACCGACTTCTACGGCGCGAAGAACTACCTCAAGCTTCTCGCGATCAAGAAGAAGTGGGACCCAAAGAGCGTCTTCTACGCGACGACAGCTGTCGGCAGCGAGGATTGGGAAATCAGGGATGGCGAGCAGGGGACTCAAACTCAGAACGGACGATTATGCCGTGTCTAATCTCGCGGCTTGTCGTGTCTCGGCGTGATTATGGATAGTGCTGCGCTTTCATGTTGTATACACATACACCCCCCGGTTCAAGTGCCTAGCGTCCGTTTCAGTCAGCGAATGAGCAGCCCTGGAGAGTGAAAAACTTATTGAAAAGCAATGGCCAGCGAAGATTCTGGAGTCATCGTGCGCCGTTGTCGAAATGCGCTGCTTTCTTTTGGGGTTGTGCTTACGTTCCAACGAGTCACGACCGATTTACTCGTGGTGGTCTGTCTTGATGGCAGATGCTCAGCCGTTGTGAAAGACGTTCTCTGTGTTCCACGCCGTCAAGTCGCAATAGTGAAAACACTTGATTAACATCATGCTGCGCTTTCAAAGAAGTGAGCGAGTCGTCGACTTGGACAGCATCTTGCAGGTCCGATCACGATGTTGATACTCGCCCCCCTGAGAACGCGTTCGTGCTTTCCCCGCCCAGTAGCGCAAAACACAGACGCGTCGCAACAAGACGTCATAAGGATGGGATGATCGCAATGCCGCCCTTTCTCATTCATCTCTACGATATCCCTCTTGAACTGCGTTTTTTTCTTTTTAATTCACTGCGTTCCGACGACTGTCGTTGTATATTGTTGTTGGAACACAATCACATCAGCACCTCATCCGGAAAAACCTAAAAAGGTCTGCAGACTACATCAAGATCAGTACATGCAAAGTAGGTGTGTTAACATCGATGTAGACCCTAAAGTGTTTACTTTTTTCTAAGTTTAACGTATCAGGTCTGCGCAGTTTCAATATGGCGTACACGAACCCATATCCGATGCCGACTTTGGAGAACCCAACTCCGTCCTATCCGCCTATGCCGTACCCGCCGATGTCGAATCAGCCTATGCCAAATCAGCCTATGTCGAACCAACCTATGTCTTACCCGCCTCCTATGCCGCACACGGTTATCTCGAATGCGCCTATGCCAAACCCGGCTGTGTTAAACCCGACTACCTCGAACCCAACTCTGTTTAACCCGAGCACGCAAATCTTCGATGACGAATCAGATCTCGAGCTTGAGAACAGGCCTGTGACGGAGAGCTGCGATGTCTTACGGTATGCGATTTTTCTCTTTGTAAGAACGTGCGCGTTGCGTGTCTCGACGCCGCCATGAACATCTCCCAATTCTCCATGATCTGCGTATAGTATCTGATTGTATGCAGGCGTAAGATACGCACCTTGATCGACAATGGCGAAATGAAAGTGGGCGAGTTTCCAAAAGGCAGTTGGCATCACGCCCAATGCGTACTCGCGATTCATGAGCCAGCATGGGAAGGACAAGGGAGTTGAGTCTTCTGTATATCTGGCAGCGTACGCATTCTTCCAGCAGCACGAGATGGCAGGCATCAAGACGACCGCGAATAAGAAGGCGAAGAAGAATGAAGGAGACGCGGCGAAGGATAGTGTGCCTAGTGTCGATGATGTTGAGCTGGATTTCGAGAAAGAAGATAAAGTACCAGTATACGGTAAGCTTTCGCACCACCATGACGGAAGAGATTTGAGGACTGACACGCTGATAGATACATGCGACGACGTCCGCCATAAGATCAACGCACACCTCAAGAAACCCGGCGTAACCCAGGCTGCATTCCTTCGCGCAGCCTCAGCGTCCTTCCACAACCCATCCAAGACCCTCAACGCGCGCCAACTCTCTGCATTTCGCAGCAAGAAAGGGGCGTTGAACGGCAACACATCCGGCATCTATTATGGTTCGTACGTCTACTTTGAGAAGCTACGCATCAAAGAAGGAAAACCCAAGAGCAAGAAGAGGCAGGAGATGGAGGAGATACATGCCAAGGATGGCGGAATCGATACAAAACATATGCAGGACCGACTTACTACCCGGGAGGGTGACCATTGGCACCATGATGCTTATGGGAGGACGATTCTCAATGGGGAGATTCTTGAGTAGCGTTTGGGCGAGTGCCCTTTGCCTTGTAATATATGTGTTCGATATGTCGTGGTAATAGAGTGGTATGTACAAGTGACGTCCAATGTGTGTGGATATCTGATGGACCCAACGCCATAAACGCCGATGCTCGATTGTGTGAAGCCGCCGAAGTAATGCAAAGCGCTCATAGTGTGGCTGCTGCCTCAACAGCTCCAGCCAGCTTGAACGTCTTCGGACTCGAGAAAACGATCTCGACGGGGTATTTCCACTCCATGAACTTGGCCCATCCTGCAAAGATGTTAGCTACCTGCCATATATCCGGTCATCTAACCTTGAAGATGACGTACCCCAGTATGCGGCCTTCCTGCCAAAGTATTTCCCCAGATATGGCACCATGACCATTGTCAACAGCAGCTCCAATTGTTGCAGCGACTCTTTCCACTCCCGGTCCGCATCCGACATATATTCTTCCTCATCGGCTGAGGAGCTCGTTGCCGAGGATGGTAACGAATCGATCTCGTCGTTGGAGGATGGCTCGATGAAGCTCTCGCTATTGCTCAGGGACATGGCGGTGGTGGTATTGGATCGTTGACAGGAGAGGGTGATGGATGTATGACTGGATCGGCGGACTACCGTAGCAGCATTGGCGATAGTGACGGGATCGCGACGGTTGTGGTAGAGGCGCGTTCGGTGAATGGTGTCGGAGCGCTCCAGCCAATGAGCGGAGGTGGGGCTTAGCGGCACTCGGCACGTGACGCAAATCTTGGCACTCAGCGTTCGACTCACACATGTGTTGCGGCGAACTTTAGGGTGACCGCCTGTCTAACTCTTCGACTCACCACGCCTACACATCACTACGCACTCCGAATCGATACCAGAACATCCCCAGAACTCACTGAAGATCGAAAACACGAGTGCAACCGCAATCATGGCTGATTCTGTACGTCACAGCCCCACGTTCGCTTTCGAAATATCCTGTGCCTTGAAAGTGGGCTTGCTGCATGCCAGCTTCCTAGCTGGGACTTATTTCTACTTCCCTACAAAGAGCGACATACTAACGGACATCTACACAGGCCGATCTCCCTGACCGCAAACCCCGCAAGTCGGTCCAATTTTCCGAAGGTGCTACGATTGTCGACAGCAACGGCGACGTTACCGAATCACTAGAGATGAACGGCGACAAGGACTCCGCTGAGGGCCACGCCGCGAGTGCTGGTAAGATGGACCACACACTGGAAATACATCAGTCGCTGACAAGTGGGGCTATAGGCGACGACAAAGAGGTCGAGGAGGTCACCGACATGTTCGCTGATCTCGCAAAGAAGGTGAGGCGCAAAAAACATGCGCGAATATTAACATCTTGCTGACAAGATACAGAAGAAGAAGAAGTCCTCCAAGAAGAAGGAAGGCGAGGAAGAGGACGGTGCAGAGGGCGACTTCGCCGCGCTGAAGAAGAAGAAGAAGTCCAGCAAGAAGAAGGTCGAGGACGACTTCGAGGCCAAGCTCGCTGCCGCCGGCGGCGACAAGCCCGAAGGCGAGGAGGAGGTCGCTGCTCCCGAACCCGAAGTACAAGAAGGCGACATGATGAAGGGCACCGGCATCTGGGAACACAACTCGACGACCCCCATCTCGTACAACCTCCTCCTGAACCGCTTCTTCACGCTCCTCCACGCACAACATCCCGACCTCGCCAGCTCGGGCACAAAGAGCTACAAGATCCCGCCCCCACAGTGCATGCGCGAAGGAAACAAGAAGACCGTCTTTGCCAACCTTGCCGAGATTTGCAAGCGTATGAAGCGTTCCGACGAGCATGTTGCTCAGTTCTTGTTCGCTGAATTGGGTACGAGCGGTTCGTTCGCCGACCAGAAGCGCTTGGTCATCAAGGGTCGTTTCCAGCAGAAGCAACTCGAGAACGTCCTCCGACGATACATTGTCGAATACGTCACCTGCAAGACCTGCCGCTCGCCCGATACCGACCTCTCCAAGGGTGAGAACCGTCTCAACTTCGTCACCTGCAACAGCTGCGGATCGAGACGTTCTGTACAAGCCATCAAGACTGGTTTCTCGGCCCAGATCGGAAAGAGGCGGAGAATGGTGGGTTAGGGGAATTGATGTTATGCGCTTTACGATGTTCAATGTTATGCATGGCTTGGGCTGGGGATTCTCGATCAGCGGGCGCTACGGCTGTTGCTGTTATGACGCTTTTCGGCGGTACGAACGGTCATGATGATTCAAAGCAATGTCTGTGGAAGGTTCATGTACATTGAGATGAGTCAAAAGATACAGTCTAATAGACGTAGAAGAGAAGTTGCTCAGTACATGCGTAATATGTGATGGCTAATATACGCGCTGGCAAATAAGATGCAGACTACCTAGGTAGCATGTGAGATATGGTGGGCGCTTAAGTCGGTCGCAAGTGGACCCTGATAGCTACGGTGCCTCCCGGAGCTCCCCTGCATCATGAGGACATGCGAACATGTTTGTTTCTGCCCAACTCGAGTCTCTTGATCCAAAATAGCTGCTCACGCATGAACGACTTTATGCTATTCTCTTACTCACCCGTGGCACAGGCTTGGCGCGTAGTCCAGGGCGAGGAAGCGGGGCGCTGATTCGGCGGCTCGAGAGACCCCGCTAGCCAGCAGCTGCGCGCTGGAGGCTGAGCAGCTTGACCAAGGAGACACCAACGGGGCGCGCGGTTAAAACGTCTATACTGCTTATGGTGCTGATGCTTCCGTAGACTAATCTAATCCCTTCTCCGCTCCTCTCCTCTCTCCTACATTGCGCGTGGTTGCTGCTAACATCCCCTTACCTTGTTCTCTGAGACCCAACTGCAGTCGCGTCAACTCGTCGCCTTAGGATCGCAAGCTTGAATATGTCGGGATATCAAGGAACTCCACCACCGGGCGGGAACTACTACCCTCGTGAGTCGCGTGTCGCAAAGTATGTGAAAGCAAACTGACGAGAAGTAGCACCGCCAGGTACATCTACACCATCTGCATTCCTCTTGTTATATACCGAACGCTCCTTCTCCAGCCTTGCAACACTACAACACCGCTCCTCCTGAGCAGCCTTCTAACCTATACCAGACCAACAGGGCCAGCAGCAGTACTATGCGCCTCCGCCAGGCAGCCAGTCCTACCCTCCACCACCCACATCCCCTCCCGCACACCAACAGCAGCAACAACACTACCCACCTCCGCCAGGTGGAAATGCCGCTCCACAACAACACTATGCGCCCCCGCCTGAGCAACAGCAATATGCGCCGCCACCCGAACAACAGCACTTCCCGCCCCCAGGCCAAGCGCAATCGCCGCCCCCACCCTTCCAGCAGCAGCAGCAGCAGCAGCAGCAACAGCCGCCACAGCAACAGCAACCGATGAGCCCCGGCTTTGGTGGATTTCCGGGTGGAAGCCCAAGTGCGACTCCCTCGGGATATCCCGCCGAGAAGACGGGTCACCCAGGCATGGGCCATCAGTCGCAGATGAGCCAGCAGAGCATACCCCAGCAACCGCAATACGTAGGCGCGGGAGCACACACAGCGCCCGCAAGTGCCTCAGCAGACGACGTGGGAACTTTCAATGGAGGAAGTTACCGCGTTAGCCACAGGGACACCAATTCCATTCTCACCGTGCAGCTAGCCATTGGATGTCCTTTTACTGCTAAACCTGGTGGGTTCTCCAATACAAGACCCGTACTCCGCTACTATAGGGAGTAAAAGATGCAAAGAACGAATGAATAACACAACCCCAGGCGCGATGATAGCAATGTCCCACACCATGACGCTAAAAGGCAACCTGAAGTTCTCCCTGAAGAAAGCGCTCATGGGCGGCGACATGTCTAAATCCACATACACGGGTCCCGGTGAACTTCTGCTCGCCCCTCCTTCCATCGGCGACATCACAATCATCAAGCTCGGTGGAAAGGAGACATGGTCGGTGGGCCGCGACGCGTTCCTGGCTTGCACACAGGGCATTGTAACGGAGTACAAGAGTCAAGGGATTGGCAAAGCCATGTTCAGTGGTGAGGGACTGTTCGTGTACAAGATTAGTGGGACGGGTGTGCTTTGGGTGACGAGTTTTGGCGCGATTATCAGGAAGGATGTAAGTTTCCAATCATCCATCTCCATGCCAGATTGACGGAGTGCTGACGCGACCGACTTTTCTAGCTCGCTGCCAACGAGAAATACATCATCGACAACGGTCACCTCGTTGCATGGAACTGCAAATACGTCCTCGAGCGTGTTGCTAGTGGTGGTATCATCAGTAACATGACGGCGGGTGAGGGCCTTGTATGCAAATTCACGGGACCGGGCACTGTTTTCATGCAGACGAGGAATGCGGCGGCGTTTGGGCAGTGGTTGGCCGCGAATGCTGCTGCGCCGTAGGACGCATGTCAAACACGATGTATGATGATGTGGGATAGTTGAGTTCAATCATGAATCAGAAGAATTGATACCACCTACCTACCATCTCCTACAATCTAAAAGCCACAGGACTAAACAACACCCCCCAACCCACCCCTTTACTTCGGCGCCTCCAAATTCTGCACCCCCTCCACCCTCTGCACAACCCCAAACCTCTTCCTCCCCTGATCAAACACCACATAAACCCCCTTCAACCACGTATCGCCCAGAATATCAAACTCGCTTTTCCCCCTCGACTGAATCCCACCATACTGCATCCCACCCCCACACTTCGCGAACCCAAAATCTTCCTTTTGGACTTCAAATACCTTGTCACCGACCGCCAGCGCTAGGGTAGGTAAATCCGTGACTTTAGTCCCCAAGGGGAAAACCCACCCCTGGTGCGCTTTATCGAACACCGCACCAGGAATCGTACTGTATATCTTCTCGCAGAGCGCGTCATCCAGCAATGCCAGTGTAGTTCCTGTGTCTGCAATCGCCGTGTTTCCAGGTGGTCGTTGGATCGTCTCGCCGTTTAGCATGGCGGTGGGCGAGGGGAACTGCTAGAACCCGCGTGAAGGGTCGATGGGGACGTAGTGGGGTTCTGAGACGCCGCAGCGGCGGAGGACGGTCTCGTCGATGTAGCCGAATGTGTAGAAGGATTCTCCGTGATCGGCGTCGGTGGTGTCGCGCCAGGAGCCGAGGTAGCAGGTGAAGAGTTCGCTGGAGGAGGGGATGTCGGATTGGGATATCATCTAGAGGAAAGGCGTTGGATTAGCAGTGTGTTCAAAAGTTGGTGCAGACACGACAGGAAGGTGGAATGATTGAAGAACGAGAATGGAGAGAAGGGGAGAGAACTGACCGATTCAACAGGCGTAGCCACTTTCTTCGGCTTGACAGTATTGATATGTCCGAATCCCAGACCTAACAACCCGTCTCCTGCGCCCGAAGTAAACTGCGGACTGAGTTTGTTGGCGAGTTCAATGGCTTGGTTCTCGATGCATAGGCCGCCGAGGGTCACGTTGTCTGTGCCGACGATACCGGAGGCCGTGGAGCCTGTACATCATTGTCAGACAAGAGGTCTCCAATGTCTGCCAGTCATGGCTGTGAGGTTAGGTGGATGGCGAGGGAGGAGAAGAAGGGACTCACCATCCCCATACCTAATCCTCCAACTCGCACCCTCAACCTTCTTGAACGTCTCACTTGCCTTTGCATCAAAGACGTTATGTTTCGTCTTTCCATTCACCGCCGCCTTCTTCGTCGCAGGATCCAAAAGCGTAGACTAAACCCAAAGATCACTGCTCCCAGTATCAAAATGCAAATTCATCACCTGCGGCGGCGTCCCAATCTCCACCGGACAAATATACAACGCATCATTCTGCTGATCTTCCGCTTTAACTTCCCCCGGCTTACCCTCCTCTTCAATTTTCCTCAGAACAGGTTTGGTTTCTTTTTTAGCCGCGGGTTTGAACAGGTTCTTTACGGATTTGGTGGCGACGTCGAGGACTTGGAAGGGCCCTTCGGTGGTGGGCGCGAAGTCGTATTTGCGGAGGAGGGAGGCGTAGGATTTTAGGCCTGCGCGCTCGCAGGTGGGATTGGGGAGGATGGAGATGCGTTTTAGGTTTGACATTCTTGGAGGTGGAGGTGGGTGGTCGGAAGGTTGGGGGTTTTGGATTGTGGTGAGGAAAGAGAGATATATGGTAAGAAGGTGGTATATAGGTTGGTCAAGATGAGTCGCTTTCAGGGCGTAGCAATAGTATTAGGGATGTTTTGAGGAACGAGGAGCGGATGGAGGAGTGGATGATGATAGCTGTAGCCATGCGCCCACCACCTGCCGGTCCCACAATGCGCAGCAAGTACGTACGGTGAACCACGACCAGCTCTTGCTCACAACCCATCCTATGTATTCCTTCCCAACCACAACGTCTATGCTTAATCAAATGTAGTCTTCTTGCCCTGCGACTCAACAATCGCTTGACTCGCCCGTTGAGTACTCATGTGAGCAGCACCACTCTTGATATTCCTCGGGTCGACCTTCCGCTTGCCACCCCGTCCGCCATTGCTGTCTCCAAAGTCTTGCCTGCCTCCTCTTTCGCCTCCTCCTCCCCTGCCAAAGCCCCTCTCGCGACCTGCATTCTCTCCATCCGCACCCTCCTTCTCATGGCCAAATCGCTTGTGGTATCTCGTATGGTTGTCTTCGGCGAACTCACGACGCAATTCTCTGCCCATAAGCTTGTTGACTAGCCATTTCCTTTGCTTTACGGGTTTGCTGGTGTCGACTTCGGAATCGCTCTCGTCCCTATCCTTCTTGTTCTTGAACGCAGACGGGTCTTTGAAGACAAAGCCCTTGACCGCTGCTGTCGCAGCTTCCACGTCCCTGAAGGTGACCCAAGCGAATCCCTTGCATTTGCCAGAATCTTCAAACGTTGCCATGTGTATGTTGTCGATTCTTCCGCATGGTGCGTAGTGGTTCTTGAGATCCTCCTGGGTAACGTCGAAGGAGAGGTTGCCGACGAACACGCGCTTATTGGGAGGGTTCTTCGGTTTCGCATCCTTGGCGCCACGTCCATTATCCTGAGTTTCTTCAGTTTTGGGCTTGTCTGGCCGCCCATCGAAGCTCTTTGCATTCTTGATCAGCAGCGCGCGGTTATCCATCTTCATCTCCGTCAAGGCAATCGCCGAGTACATTGACAGCTCAGTAGAGAAGTCGACGTATGCGAAACCCTTGTTCATTGGCTTTGTAGTCCAACTCGGGGGCGGCGGCCTCGTGGGAGGGGGCATGTGAATGCGTGTGATTTGGTCATCGGGGATTTCGGTATTGTCGGTCAAGAACTTTCGTAGCGACTCCTTCGTGGCAGACCATGGCAAGTTGCCGATCCATACACCGTATTCCGAGCGCTTCGCAGCATTCTCCCTGTCTTCAGCTGACTTTGCGTCCGTCTTCGCATCCGTCTTCGCGACCGATGCTTCTCCGTCTGTGTCGGCGGCGGGTGTAGGGTTCAGCTTGGCTTTCTTCGCTTTACGAGCGGCTTTCTTGGAGGCGGGTTCGGGGAGGTTGACATCGATCTCGAGTTCTTCGGGCAATGCTTCGCGCTTGCGCTTCTTTGCGGGTGTCTCTGCTGCGTCCTCGCTGTCGGACTCTGCAGCTTCAGCCTTCGACTCGGCCCTCGCGCGCTTCTTTTCTTTCTTTTCCTTTTTGTCCTTTTTCTCCTTCTTGTCGCGACGCTCCTTCTTGGAGACAATAGCAATCTCTTCCGCCGAGGACATCTCTGTATCTGACGACATTGTAGCGTGGGTGGTGTTGCGTATCGATACTTTGCGGCTCGAACTTTTTTCTGGGGCACTTTTCGCTAGCATGGCCGCGCTAGAAGACCCTGGCTTAGTCATGCTCCGCCCGCAAACGATCAAGATATAGCGTATGTGTTGCTTGTCAATCGGACTTTGCATTCGTCACATTGTTACAAGAAGCGTATTCAAGAAAACTACCATTGATTTACTACACATATAGAAGACATGAAAGGAAAGATCAAATTGAGCCAAGTAGGAGAGCCGTAACCGAGCCAGAGGCAATGAAGCACCCTACTCACATGTCCCGTCGAGGTGTATCGAAGCGCGCTCCAGCGCCTTCTCTGTGTAGGGAATGTTGTGTGATTGCGATATCTCGCAGGCCATTCCTTTTGACGCCCCCAGTACCCAGAAATTCGAACGCTTTAAACACCAACCAGGAACACTTTGCCTACCTTTGTGCTCACGAAATATGGCAGCTTTCGCTGACGCCTATGACACCACCTACTGCATCTCTTCGTCGCTGGCATCGAGGATGTCGTACTCCTCATCGGTCATGAAGCCATCGTCGGACATCAGGGCGACACTCTCAGCATCCTCAAAGAACTCGTCATCTGAGGCAACGGTGACAGTACGTGCAACGGTGCTCTTCTCGGATGGAGAGGCGGGTTGAGCAGTGGTAGAAGACTCGTAAGTGCTGGATTCGGGCGACTCCTTGTCAAGCTGAGGGAAGATCATGCCGGAAGCGATGGGCTCAGATGCAGACTGCTTTTCTTCGACTGGGAGTTCGGCAACTGGCTCTTCAACCTTGACTTCCTCCTTGGGAGAAGCAACCGGCTCCTGCTTGATAGTGGCAAGGGCAGCCTCGTGTTCCTTACGACGGTTGGCCTCCTCGTGCACCTTGCGGCGGCCCTCCATGAGACGCTCCATGGCAGCCTTGCGTACACGCTGGACACGCTCCATCTTCTGCTGATCCAGCTGTTGCTGCAGAGAGTGGTGTGCATCCTTCATCTTCTGCAGTTGTTGTTGCTGAGTGTGTTGCATTTGCTTCATGCGCTCAGCCCTGGCCTGTAGGAGGCGGTCGTACAGAGGGTTCGACCTAGGAGCCACCTCGAACGTGGTGGCTGAGCCGGATGCGGGAGTAGGAACCTGGACTGGCATGGGGATAGCTGGCTGAGCGACGACAGGCGAGGGCACGGCAACGACTGCAATGTCACACCAGAGGCGATGGCCGAAGGGCATACCCTCGGGGGTCTTCAGGCGCCAGTAGGAGATGGCAGTGCCCTCGCGCTGGGGTGCCTTCATGAGCACACGGAACTGGGCTTCCTCGCCAGCCTCGACAGTGTGGCCAAGAACGTTGCTCTCGCTAGCTTCAGCAAGCTCAACGTGGCTCAAAGGACGGGTGTTGTCGATGTTGAGCATGTTGTCACCACCAACGTGTCGGACGCTGCAGCCTCGTGGCCAAGCGTTGGGGCCAGGGTTGCGAAGAGTCCAGACCTGAACGAACTGGTGGCCTGCACAGATCTTGGAACCATCAATGATGGTGTCCAGGATGAAGTGCGCGTCGAGGCCCTCGGTAGCAGTCTCTGACCTAGGAATGGGAATAGCCTCGGTCTTGACTGGCGCCTTGACCTGAGCAGGTACGGCAGGCTTCTCTTGCACCGGCTCAACGGAGTCGACGAGAAGGTCGCGAATAGCGATCTTCTCCTTCTTAACCTGAGGCTCCGCGGATGGCTTCACGTCGACAATGGTCTGGACTTGGGTCGCAGCATTGGTGGAAGGGGCGACTGGGGCAGTCTCGGTTGAGGTAGATCGCCTATCGCACATGCGGTCGCCGAGTCTAGCCATAGACTTACGCTGCTTGTCGTCGTTGAGTGTAGTAACGCTAACGCTGCGTACAGGCGTCTGGAACTTGATCAGCGGGTGGGTGTGGTTGTGTTTGTTGCTGGGATGGGCCTCGCAGTTCTGGCAGAAGTCGGTGTCGTGGCAAACAGCACACTTGTAGCGGACGCCGTCAATGTATGACAGGTTCTCCTTGTCCTTGCAGAGGGGACCGTCACAGTAGATACCGTAGTGGCGGTTTGCGCTGTTCAGAGGCTCTGCCAAAGGCTCGTAGATGGGAACAAAGCGATGACGGGGGTGGATGAACTTGGCGTTCTTGAGGCAGTCAGAGCAATAGTCCCAGTCTGGGCAGTTCAAGCACTTGTGGCGGACACCATAGATGAACTTGTCGCAGCCATCGCAGACGGCGTTGTGACGGACGTTCCTGCCAGAATTGCACAAGAAATCGGCCAGGGTAGGCAGGACAGTCTCGGACGTGGCGGGCTTGAAGGTGTGACCAGGGTGGTGACCGTGCTTGTTGCTAACATGGCAAGTGAGGCAGAGGTCGTAGTCTTCGCAAGGAACGCAGGTAACGAATTCCTTCTCGGGGAGGACCTTGACGCAGCAGTTGCAGGTGCGGGTTGGCTCCTCCTCATATGTGACGGACTGCTTCTCATCGGTAAAGGCGCCTGGGATCTCCTGTTGTTGGGGCTCCTCGGTCTCGGCCTTGACCTTGGGTGCGATGCGCTGGGTGGTGCTGTTGACGACGCTGCCGTTCTTGACGAAACGCTTGACCATCCAGTGGCCGCTTCCGGGGCAGTGGATGCCGTTGTCTACGCAGGCCGGGCAGAGATCGTAATCGCCACCGTCGCATACACTGCAGTGGAAGTGCTCGTCCTCCATGGGCTCGTTGCAGTTGTTGCAGTATACGACCCACGAAGTGCAGGCGTTGCTCGGCTTAGGGCGGAATGCGAGACCGGAGTTGTAGTTCGCAGTTGCGAGGTTGTTAAAGAAGCCTGTACACTGCATTAGCCGAAGATCGTGCGACATGGATATGTGGAATTGCTGCTTACTCTGACGAGCGGTGAAGGCCTGCGGTACGGGAGCCTCGCCGTCAGCATCTACCGTCGTTGGTGGCGATACAGGGCTGGTGCTCTCGGTGGGCTTGATTTCTGGGGAGCGGGCAATGACGGGAGAGACGGGAGCGCCGCCCAGTGGAGTGAGAGTCTCGGTGCTGACGGGGTGGGCAGTGGGCTGGTAGTGTCGGACCACATGGTTTGGCGCGGGTGTAGGTGCGGGCGCAGCCACGGGCTCTTCGCCGGGTACGGTGGCCCTCAGACGCAACTTGAGCTTCGCCTTTGCGGCGCGGAAGAGCGTCTTGTAGACCTGGGGCTTGTCCGCGTCAAGGGTGACATACGAGGCGGCAGAGTCGGAATAGCGCTCGAAGACGACCTGCTCGCCGGCTTCAAGCTGAAGAACACTGCGGAGCTAAACATCACAAATCAAGTCAGCATCGAGATTCCCGAGCGTGTTTGATCGTACGTCCGAACGACCGATCCGATCGCCTAGAAGTGACAACCTCGGGTTATAGAAAGTCACGAACCTTGTCGGGCAGCACGTGAGCTCCGAGATCCTTCAACGGCAGCTTGAACTTCTTCGTCTGGCCGCGGAACAGGACCTTGACGACGATGGGCGTGTCCAGAGTCACGGGGACGTTGTTAGTCGCCGCCATGATGGGCGAGTGAGGCTGGCGATGGGGGAGGAGTAATAGTCAGAGCGACTGCAGCTAGCTGGCCGCCGCTGTATTGAGACAAAGAGGTGCAGCAACTAGAGAGTTGTCGCTGTCGAGGTGGTTGATGGAGAGTTGAAGGCGGAGGTGGAGCAGGTGAGACGGCGGCGGAGCTGGAGGTGTAGGTAGTAGCTGCCTAGTGAGTGGGGTCAGTGCAGCGTTAGTGGACGCCGGGGGCGCGCCAACTCTATCGCAGGTACACCGGATTGCCAGTGCTCGCGTCGCAGAGGGCGAAAGGCTGATATTGGCGCCTGGGATCACTTTTCTTATGAACTGATGGTCCGACGGCCAACTCAATTATGTGTCAAGGCACTTCTTGATGCTTTTCCTCGTGTTTGAGCTCCGGATCGGCTGATTCTTGTACTTCGAGTGGCCGAGTGGTTCGCTACCACACAAGGCTTCCAGACACGTCGTCAGCCGTGAGGAGCCGCAAGAATTCGCCCGATTACTATTGCCTTTACCCACTCAATGACTGCCTCCAAAGAGGCTGTTGCTCGAGATGATGACGCCATGGTTCAGCCGCACGTGATACTGGAGCGCTCCCGTGCACCAGCTGATCACTGAGATAGCGGTTTCACTGCGATAAAGAGGGCGCTAGCGCAGCGCTCCCGAGCTGCTTGACGGTGGCCGAGAGCCACCGACGTGTCTTGTCTCGCCTCACTTGACGGTTTCGCGATGGAAGATTACACCGCAAGTACCTCAAGTATAAATATGACGATGTCGCATTCCCACTATTCTTTGTGTGCAGCCGCTCCAATACGCGGCGAAGAATGGCCGTTGCGAGGATTATGGAATGAGGCGAAAATACCAACACAACTTGGCTTGTGCAGTTGTTTGCATAGCGAGTATTGCCTGGGATAACACTTACATTCGGCAATTGCATGGTAAGCCAAGAAGATATTCGTAGGATGCAGACGGTTGTTGAATAAAAGATGAGAACGTCCCTGATCGGAAGGCAATTTTCAGGAGTGCCAGCGAATGGGTACATTTATTTTGCACCAAAGCCGGAGCATCAACTAAGCCGTTCGTATTTTCCTGAGCTCACCCTGGGATTGAGTTCCATAGGCCTTGAAATATCGAATCGTTTATCATTTCTGGGGTATCAAATATCAGCCTCCACAAGCCTGTCCAGCATATCCATAACCTCTCGACACCAACCCTGACTCCAACCCCATCCCTCTCACTTCCTCCCCTCAACCATAACAATATGATACCCCTCACTCGTCTTGACCTCCCCAATCTTCGGACTCGCCGTCGTACTCGGCTCCAACTCATACGCCACCTTCTCAAAATCCTGCATGAGGCTCCCTCTAACCTTCCAGCCCAGACTGCCCCCTTGACGCGCTTTATCCTCACTCATTTCCCTGGCTACCTCGTCGAATTTCGCGCCGTTGCGCAGCTTCTCGAGAGCTTCTTCTTTTTTCGAGTGCTTTTCGCAGAGGATGTGGCGCACGTTTATCGAGGTTGCGGGCTTGAGTTTGCCTTTTCCTCCTCCGCCGCCACCTTCAGATTTGCTACCGCTGTCGTCTTTGGCTTGGCCTTTGCCTTTGTTTTTGGGTGCCATCCTACCGTGGGAGTGTATAGGATGGAGACGTGTGCGTGTATCCGGTGCGAGGCTTCGCGGATGCGGCTCTTACGGCTGGCGAGGTCGCAATCGGGACGAGAATTAGTTGGTATCGGAGGCTGGGATCGGTAGTTGGTAGACTGGAGTTCCAGACCTATCACCTCGAGATATATTTGCAGTATAGTAAAGTTATGCGCGCGAGGAACTTGGATTCGTGAAAGTGTTCCGGAGCTTGGAGCTCTGATGCGGGGCCACTGGGACGGCCAGATGCACCGAAGTGGGGTGGAGCCTGAGGCAACAAGGATTAACCTGGCACGATACGAGAGCGAAAGCATGATGCAGTGGATAAGATTGTACAGTTCCTTCGTCAATAGTTTGGATTTATCTCGTAATTGTGCACATCAGTCCTCATTCATGGAGTTGCTGAGCTCGCTATACTCCCAGGCCAGTTGCTCGCTGCGGAGCTGGACATTACATAACATATTGACGGGCGTAGTTTCCTGTAGCTTTCCCCAGGCGCTCTTGTTCTTCGTACAACATAGTACGGCACGGCGCGGCAATGTGGCATGGTTCTCATCCGAATAAGTATACAAACAGGGCTCCGATATCCTAGCTACTTCATCCATTGCCGTTGACGATTGCACGAGGCGCTGTGCCATTAATGCCGTTGTGCTCGCGCACCATGTCCATGAAGCTTTTCTTGGGTTTCGGCTTCTTCTCTGGCTCCTCGTCACTGCTGTCTACTAGATGGATACGTCTTCTTTTGCAATCGGAGCGCATATGGCAGAGCAGCGGCCGTAGGGTTTCAATCTTCTCGACTTCGGCGTAAAGCAGCGACTCTTCCACCCAGTACAGGCCCTCCATAGCAGAGAACTGATGCTTAGCTTCCTTGATGCTGTCCTGGATCTTGGCGTAGTCAAACTCTGGCGAGCCTTCCATTGGGAATCGGGTGTCCTGGGCTAACAGCGCAATATCATATTGGCGAAGTATGGCATCTCGTTGTGCGCGGCTCACGGGAATGCGAGACCATTCAGAGTAAGGAGCGTCGAGATGCGCTAGATCGAGCTCGGGAAGACCAAGTATGCCGACAGCCTGGAACGAACAGATGTACTTCCGATTTGGGATGGCTTGCGAGTCACCGAGGTCCTCAGCATTTGCCAAGAACAACGGTAGGAAAATAGCAGATACACCAAGTTGCTCCCCTGCGAAATGAAGCGGTCGATTGGTGCCTAATTCGCAGGCGCGTCTCAAAGCTCGTGGGAGCCTGGATATCCGGTCCTGGCGTTCGAGCAAATTCTTCTGACGTTGCGCTTCTTGATCTGCACGGCGCTGGGTTTCCTGTTCTTCTCGTATCCGCGCTGCTTCTGCTTCTGCTGCCTGGCGCTGTGTCTCTGCTTCCGCTTCGGCCTTCTTCTTCGCTTGCTCGATCTCTTCAGCTTTGCGAGCCGCCTCCTCTGCTTCCTTCTGCTTCGCCTCGGCCTCAGCTGCAACTTCGGCGGCTTTGCGTTTCGCTTCTGCCTGTAGTTTGTGTTCCTCTTGGCGACGTGCGCGCTCGACTTCTGGAGTTGCTATCCTTTCAGGCGGTACGGGCGTAGACTTGGCAGATGCTGTGGGCGTCCTCTTCACGCTGACATCGTCTGTTGATGCATCCGACATCTTTCTCTTCCTGATCTTGTCTTCAACCGTCTTGTATTTGATCTTATTCTTGACAACCTTGCGTTCATCTGGAGAGTCGATCTCGGGTGTCGGTTTGGCGCTGAGTGGTCTGCCTGGTTTTGTCCGAATCTTGACTGGCTGCTTAGTACCATGGTCCTCGTCGCTCTCGTCTGAGTGTGCTCGGTCCGGTCGTTTGGATTCATTATCGTCTGATCGCGCTTTCACAACCTTCTTGACAGGCTTCGCTTCTTCGCCTTCGCTGTAAGAACGCTGCTTGACCTTCCGGATAGGCGGTCGTACGTCTTCTTCGCTCTCCTCTTCTGATGAATCGTCGTCCACAACGCGCTTCCTTCTTTGGTCTTCTCTGGTCGCCTTTTCCTTTCCGGACATGAGTCGTCGAGATTTTTGTGGTGCAGCAGGCTCTGTCGTCGACTTTACCAGCTGCGCGCGTTTTGCGTTAGGACGTGGAGAAGACGACCGTTCTCTTCGCGGCGATGTCTTCCTCTTCATGCGGTTCGCCGGGGCGTTTGGAGCTTCTTTCTTGACTCTCCGCGGGCTCCGGTGTGTCGTTTGATATTCCTCACAAGCGCGCTTCAGCATATCCCTCTCTTCTTCCCACTTAGGACCATGCCGTTCCTCAGAAATCTCGTAATATGTCTTGTTGTCTTTGTTTCGGCGAGTGGGATTGAAGTTGTCTTGCTCGAGAAGTAGTTGTATGATCTTGAGGTATCCTCGTCCGATGGCAACTGTCATGGGCGTTTCTGGGTGCTTGGACGGGTCGGGATCTGCCTTGAGGCCACTCGCGAGGAGGATACTGAGGATGTCGTAGTGTCCACCTCTTGCTGCTGCAACGCCGCAGGTAATGTTCGGTTTGATGTTACTGTTGATCAGCTCTCCTACAGCGAGGATGTCGCCATCGCCAGCCTTCTCGATCAGGGTCTCCACGTTGAACTCATTGTACAGTAATCGCGATGCGGTCTTGGCCTGCTTCTGAGTGCGTTCGGGGTCGTTGTTGGACGTGTCTGCCCGTCTTCTCATTGCCTCTCTAAGCTCCTTCTCAATCTCCTCTGCGTCGTCATCTTCCGGGTCCAGCACATCAATCGCACGCTGACCCTTCTTGTTGGAGTGATGTGGATTAACCTTGCCCTCGTTGAGCAGCAGTTTGACGACATCCAAGTGCGAGTTCTCTACCGCATCGATAAGAGGAGTGTCTCGATCGTGGCTTTCACAGTCTGTTCGGCAGCCTTTGCTGATCAGGTATCGAACAACAGGCGCCCAACCGTGCAGCGAGGCTTTTTGTAACGGAGCAATACCGGCGTAGTCGGGCTGATTCAGTTCGTCAGGCGCGTCTTCGAAGGCTTCCTTGACTGCATCCAGATCGCCTCTTTCGCTCTCTCGAGCTAGACGCGTAGCGCCAAATCTGTCGACTTTCCTCTGGGGCATGGTACGTGCAGGCGAGGTCAGCGCGCGGTTGGTGGAGCGCTTCACCCGCGCGTGTTGGAGGTGCGGCGCAGACGTGGGCTGCGGTGATGTTGAATGATCTGAACTGGATCCTGACCAATGCTCTTCTGTCGACAGAGCGAGATTGGTTACCTCGCGGCGCTTGCGGCCTGCTATACCCGTGACGGCGGATTGTGTTGACTGCGAACGCTTGTGTGGGCGGCCAAAACCTGGCGTGCCAGGCGAATGGGGCGGGCGCGCGTCCTTCAAGCCCTCGGTCCTA